CCAAAGACACGCCGTCTGGGTTCATTACAGGACAAAAAAGATCCTGCCCCAAGGTGTCCATTGCCAATGTTTGTAGAACACAGTAACTTTCCAAGTCAAAATCGTAGAGATGATTCATATCCAGGAGTAGGACCTATTCGAATGATCTCCTCATCGTGAACTTTAAAACTGGTAGAAACACACCTCTTTAGTATTCACTGTAAGAAAATCCAGGATCTCTCGAAAAACATCACGTAACTTTGGACCATACAAAGCATGAATTAAACGGAAATCCTGAATTTGATTGATGCTTCGATACCAAAGCAACTTCGCCGCTTACTGTCTTTGATTTGCGAACTCCAACTGGTGGATTTGACACCCGTAAGTCGAGGTAGCGAATTCCATGATCAAGTTGGTCTCGTATAGAACAGCTTAATCAGTCATACTTTAGCTTGAATGTTGTCGAAAAAAACGAAGTTGTTAGCAATGAACTAACCTCTGACAAACAGCCCATCGCTTAATCCCACGTCTTATACAAAATGCTCTTCCTAGTTGCTGAATAGGGACATCTTCATCATTTGCAACAGGAAGTTTATCATTAAGAAAATACGAGGCGCCCGAGTCGTGAGAACCTGAAAAATAAGGGTTCTGAAGAATACCAGAGAAAAAGGGCTGGTTCTAATATCAGGGTTCCAAACTCCGACGATAACAAATACCTCTCATTCATTATTGCAGAAAAAAAAAGAAATAAAGCGAGCAAACAAGCACCAAAGCGATGCCAGCCAAAAGTCAGTTGGCACTCATCGTCATCCGACAGAAATTTAGAGAGAAAACTCAATTATCTATCAAAAACAGCCGACTCGAAATCAGACAGCATTAGATGTAATAATTGCTCTATAGCTCTCACTTACCAGGGATTTTGAGCGTATATATTGGGCGACAAGTCAACTCGGGTGGCAGCAGAGACATCCAATTTGCCAAAGACATTCTCCTTCTCTACTGCATGTGCAGATGAGATCCTGATACGTGAAAAAATTAATTCGCATTCTACAGTAGCGCTATTCTCATTGATAAGATAAGACTGACCGTTGACAGATAACGATGTGATCAGACATTGAAAAAAAAATAATTTATGAATGTTGGCAGCTTTGGTACAAAATAGATTGACAGTGATATGTATAACAGCAAGATTACGTGTATAAATTTAGCAAGATTGAGCCTTTTTATGCTCGAATTAGGCGGCAGTGATGAAAACAACATAAACTAAAGCGAAATATAAAGCAATGAGAGAAGACAGATTCCTAATTTACTTAAATAAATACGAAAAATATGTTAACTACTAAAAACGCAATAACAACGTCAAATCAAAAACTCAAAGGTTCCTTGTTC